GGGAAGACGCTTTGAAGAAAACGTTCCGTCGCGGCCCCCGAACGAGCACAGGTTTTATTCAACGCCCCCCCTCCCCTCAGCGCTGTCCCCCAGGGCACGAGGCCCTCCTCGAGTCCCCAAGCATTTCCCCCTGAGCGCGGAGGCCGGGCGGGTGAGGACGGACGAGGACGTGCCGGTCGGTCGGGACGCGGACTCCGAAGGGGGAAGTAAAACAATAGCCTTTGTTCGGCGGGCCGACCGCGGCCTCTTTAAGAGAAGCCACCAGGAAGCGGGGGCTCGGGTTACCCGGCTGCGCACCGGGAACTGCGGGCGGGCGCCCGAGCGCGACGCCCGAGACAAAGCCGCCCCGCGGGGAGGGGGAGTCCCCGCGACGGGACGGTGGGCGCCCCCAAAAGCGTGGCCGCTCGTGGGTGTGGCCTGCAGGCACCCGGTCACCCGGCACGCGTTCGGGGAAAGGCTAGGCTGCTCGACTAGGAGCCCCGGTGGCGTACTGGTGATGCACCGTGTTGCAAGCCATAAGGTCAGCTGTTCGAAACGACCCGCCGGTCGGGGAGCAAGCTGAGGTTTCTACTCCGGTAAAGGTTACTGTCATATCGGAAACTCAGCAGGGCAGTTCCACGCCGCCCTACAGAGTCGCCACGAGTCGGAACGCGAGAGGCGACGGGGCAGTTATCAAAGGCAGTTGAGTTCCACCACCCCACCCCCATTTCGAAATCCACTATCCATCTAAAGAAATAGCGGCTGCAACCAACCGAAATAGGTGACTCAACTAGAAAGCTGACCTAACGTGTTCGAAGATAATGCATCTACCCAAGAATTTGCCTCTGAAGCCACCGTTGGCCAACCAGCCCGCCCTGGCATCCTGCAGACTTGGGGGTCGAGAGAGATGTTCGGTTAGAAAAGCAGTTGAAGGGAAGTTAAATCCGCTGGAGCTGAAGTTTTCACCATGTGGTCTTACCTTCCGATTTAATGCTCAGCTATTTATACGTTATAATTCATTATAATGTATACAATATTCAATTTCCATTATAAGTATGTTTTCATTCTAAAGCCTGCTGACGTATGCTCAGAGATTTAATATGTGCATTTGGAGAAGAGTCAAATTATGGAAGTACCTAGGAAAATGTGTATATGTGTTTGTGTCCACGTTTGTGATGATCTCTGCATCCATCAGACCAAGACGGACATCCTAGTTCGTTTTCCTACCCATTTTGCTTCACCTCTCTGGGTAATAAAAGATGTTACTATTTTTATAAATGATGCTTACATTCATCAGAACACTCCGAGCCGTAATTGTTGCTGGAAGGGTGGAAGGGGGTGGGGGTGGTGTGTGTGTGTGTAAGGGTGTAACTCCTTGACCATCAGTCTCATCAAATATCAGTCTGTTTTTTATCTGAATTGCATTGGCTCTGATGTTCCATTGCTGGGTTAAATCTTTAAAAACCTCTACACCACTTATACATCAATATGATTTGGGGCAAATTCCTATCTCGTAAGACTATTGTATTACGTGAGAGAAAATATACAAAATGCTTGTCACATATATATGTTCAATAAATAATTAGCAACAATTATTTAACCATGACAGAATTAACTCATAACTTTGATTCTTAACTCCTCCTTACTTTTTGCATGTGACTCCCCAGAAGTACTAATTTGTGCTAGATGGTATGTAATTCCTCACGAAAATATACAGTAGCTACTGTAGCAGAAGTTGCATTTAAATGAGAAATTGGCGACTTTCTGTAAAGGCCAGATAGTAAATATTTTTGTCTTTGTAAGGCAAAATTGAGGCTATTATGCAGTTTATATAATAGAAGAAAAGTAATTTATCCATTTTTTGTCTAAAAAATACAAAACTTACCTACCCTCTAGCCTATTGCTTCACCCAACACCCTTCACCTCTCACACCCAGTAACAATCAAAGTTTGTTTCTTTTGGTATGGAAACCTTTGTAGTGGTTTGTCCTGTGATTGACTAAGTACTTCACTCAGCATAATGGTCTCCAAGCCCATCCCAAATCCATCCACGTCATGAGGTGCTTCACAGTTTCATTATGAAGCCCACAAGAGCAAATGAAGTTCACCATTAACATTAAAAGAGGCATGATGAATTCAACTACTTTTCATAAAGCCCTTACTGATGAGTATCTGTAATGAGTAATAGAAATAACCAGAGGATTCATTAAACACCCTACGTTCACAAGCTTTGTAAATTTGTCCCATCAAAACTTTTCCAGCTTTACATGTTTTTAAACTTATGAATTAGGCGGAAACTTACTGAGAAGATCATAGTTTTACATTCCACAATTCATACACATTCTGATTCAACTGGTTCAAAGCAACCCTTTCAATATACCATCACATCCCACTTCCTCTCCCTCTTTCCATTCCTCCTTTTCTAACCCTCTGTATTGTGTCCTTGGGTAAATGCTGCCCTGTTGATCTTAAATGGTTGATTTTCTTAATGTGGAGGTGAGTTCAGGTCCACAACCGAGGGGTAAAGGGCCGTTGTCTTGATCCCACTAGTCCCATCTTTGATGATTTTGAATTTTATTCCACATTTTTCTCCCACTCTACGCAGGACTTTCAGGGCAGTTGGTAGTGGAAGCCGGGCACCATTGAGCTCTTCTGGTCTGAGTTACAGAAACATGCTTGGGTGGTCCATAAGCCCATTGGACTAATTGTTTCCATGTCTTGATTTTCATCACTCTTCTTTCCTCTAGATAGGAAAGACAAATAGGTGCATCTTAAATGGCTGCACACAAGCTTTTAAGGCCTTGGTGAGACTTCCAAATTGGGATGTTTCACATGGTCTTTTCTACTCATATTTTTACCATTAGTTGTAACACATCTTAGCAGACACTTCAGGTTGTACTAAATGGGTGTTTTCCCAACTTCTTTGAAAATATTTTCTTCTATAATTGTTCTATCAGATTATCCATGTAAGTTAATTCTTCAGAAAAGTCCAGCTTTACACTGATTCTTTGAATAACAACTCAAAAACCACTGTAACATCTGTTGATTCATCTTGAGCCAACAAAAATGACTCAAAATCATTTGTTGAGGTTCTGTCCAATTACCTCAATTCTTCAAGCTACTATTGCCCCCCAAAGTCTAATAAGGCACAAGTTTATTTTCTCTAGACACGTATCTTTGACTGAAGCAATCGCTTTAATTAACTGACCCTCAAAAGTTTTCCTTCCTTGGTTACCAAAGGAAACTGACTTTGATTGTAACCTCATTTCATTTTGGGTTTTTGTTTGTTTATTCTTTTTTTTTTTCTTTCATTTTTTAATTTTTGTGAAGAATTTTCCTGTGATTACATATTTCTTTTTTAAGTGTTAGATTTTTGTGACAGTTCCTTTCTTGAAATTTTGGAATAATGTGATGAGTGCTTAGTGCTATTTTTTATGTACACTGTATTCGTTTTACAGGTATAGTGTCACGGTATTACAGATAGGATGCTTTGCTATCTCATTTGATAATAAAATAATCCATACTCCACTGTGCCTTAAAACGGTGACATGTGAAGTCCATGCTTCTTGTTGCAACATGATGAATAAAATGTCCCAGTATCCTTGATAGCAGTGAGTGAGTGAGTATATGCTATAGTCCTGAGGTGGTGCAAGCAGTTTCCTGTCAACTACTAAAGGCACCATGGTTTGTGTTGGGCCAGTAGTCACACTAGTTAAACTCACTAATTGTTCCAAGGAAGGAAGGTGAGGCTGGCTATCTACTCACTAAAATCTTACAATACCAGAAACCCTAGGGAGCAGTTCTAATCTAGCGGATATGTTTGTTATGAGTCAGAAGTGACTTGAATGCAGCGGCTTTTTATTGTTTGTTTACTAACCTGATGGTTTCGTGTGTTACAAGTTGGACTGCTAAGTTAGCAGTTAGCAGTTTGAAACCACTAGACAGTTAGCAGTTCGAAACCACTAGACACTCCATGTGAGAAAGGCTTTTTACTTCTGTGTAGTTGCAGTCTGAGACACCCACCGGGGTAGTTCTACTCTGTCCTACAGGGTAGCAATGAGTTGGAATGGACTTGATGGCAGTGAGTTTGTTTGTTTAAGGTTAGTAGTTTGAATCCACTGAGCAACACCACAACAGACAGGTCTGACAACCTTCTTCCACAGTGATTCTAGCCAAAGAAACCCTATGGAGTAGGGTCTTTGAAACCACCCTCTGAAGCCCATGTAATGGTCAGAATTGATTTGGTGACAAAAGTTTTGGAGTCTTGAGTATGTGATATGCTTGGTACTTGAAATGTGTCGCTAATCTGTAGTATGCTGAGCAGCAATTAGATCATTGCAATATGATATGGAATAAGATCATTACATATGGTCTCTATCCCAACTCTGAATTCTGCCGTTGTGACAAAGAAGAAGCCATAGATGATGTAGAAATGAATGGGCT